TAGATTTCTCTTTGTATGTATATGGCAAAAATATCTTTATTAAAGCGTTTGGGTTTGGCCTGGCAAACACTTAGCTGAAAGGTGTGCTTTCCAACGGCTTACTAGATAGGATTCAGTTTTTGATCTATGCTGTGGTAGGTTTTTTGATTAGATATGAATCCCTTTACCTTTTGGAGATGGAATTGTAGAATCATAGGTTGGGAAGGACCTCTAAGACCATCAAGTCCAGCTGTCACCCCAACATCACCATGCCTACTAAACCATGTCCCGAAGTGCCACATCTACGTGTTTTTTGAACACCATGGAGTCAATATCCAAGTTGTACCCTGAACAATCTTCTAGTTAGAGAGGGAATTATGCTGCTGTATTTCCCTGCAAGTATCTTTTCATTTTTTTTTGAGCATCTATAGTCATGTTCTCCAGGTAAATGATTTTCTGCGTAATGCTCTGCATAGATAAGAGCTCCATCATGCTCAGCATGGATTTTTCCATTTCTAGTCTCAGGCCACTTTTCACTTTTACCCTTGAATTCCTCCTCTCTGCTCCCTGGTATTTATAGGCTACTGTCACCTTTTTATTCCCCAGTTTGCAAGCTTCATGCGTCCTGTTCTCTATGCTCCCTTTGTGGGAAATAGCTGCCGTTGGTGCTGTAGGAGGGAAGAAGGTGGGAAGAGCAGCGATTTCTCTGCTTATACTGGTTTCATTAAAAGGTGTAGCCAGTGTCTCCATTCAGGAGGCAGCTTTCTCCATGTACTTCAGTCCAGCACAAGCCCAAGTGTAAAGTGAATTGTAGCTAGGGCCATAGATTTTGTTGATGTGGCAGTTATGAAGTCTGAGGCAATTTTGGCAGTTATTAGTGTTTTTTAAAATCTCGGAGCAAGCTTTTTTTCAGATTGAGTGAAAAATGAAGATCTGTTGTAGCTTCTTCCTTTGCACACTTCTCCAAGCCTTTTGAATGGGCTCTGCTTGAGGGACTTTACGGCCTTATCCTCTTGGTGGGAACATTCTGGTGTGGAGGCCGATGAGAACAGGGACCGCAGCGTCCCAGATGTTGCACAGGGACCCTGATGGGTGGTCTGACTCTCAGCCGGTGCCCCTATGCAGGCAGTGCCAGGCATCACAATTTGCCCTGCTGCTGTTTCACATCATGGGAATGTGTGGAAAGATTGATGGAGAGATTGAATCAACGTTTTCCTTGAAACCTCTTGTTGAAAACATACTGTGACTTTTGTGATGGATGGACTTTCCATCTCCACGGGCTCCTGGGCGAGCCGGCTGATCACTGGTGGTTTTGCTTTGGTGGCTCTGCCCTGGTGCCCTGCCAAGTGCCTTACACAGAAGACAGATGTGTGTGTGCGAGAGCGTCCTTATTAAGGACAGCGCTTGTGCCCTTCTCATGAATATTTCAGTGTCCCCTCTCAGTAAGCAAGGAAGAGCAGAGCTGGGCAGCAGCTGATGAGGCTGGAGGCTTTTGGGCAGGGGTCCCCTCGGCAGAGCATCCCTGTGCACAGGAGGCTCAGCGGTGCCCGCAGTGCTGCCTCTGAAAGTCAAGGCCATTGCTGTGATAGCCTGATGACAAAGCTTAATTACCCTCAGCGTTCAAATCTTTTCTCTCTGATGCCTACAGAAATGAGATCATTATAAAGGCTATTCTGTGAGGAGCCAAGGTTAATCTACAGAGATCATACGCTCGCACGTGGTGATGTGTTATTTGTCACTTTTGCTGTGCCTGTTTCACCGTGACCTCCTCTCCCTTTGTTTGGCTTTGTCTCCTGCTGCTTGCGCCGGGGAGGGACAGCTTTCTCCGAGTCAACGTGGCACCTGCCCCTGCCTCCGCTTCACGGTGCTATGGGAATAATAAAAATGAAAACTCGGTGCCTACTGCCTGCTACCTCCAATTCTTGGGCTTTTCAATCAATTGCTCCCAAGTACTAAAAAAAGTGTTGGGGTCCTGTTTTACAATGCTTTTGTGAAGGAGCTGACTGCACGTGACACATGCTGAAGATGGTTTTGAACTGATCTAAGACATGAAGTAAAATGTCAGCTGCAGATTATGACTAGAATGTACTGGAAATTTTTATTAGTTCAGAAAATATTTTTTAATGAGAAAAGATGTCTCTACAAATTCTGTTTTGGAAGGACTGGGTTATAATATTAAAGCTTAATAAGCTGCTGCCTGCCTCAAACTCAAAGGTTTTAGTTTTAATTTCTAATTATCTGGTTGGAGGTGTTTTAATGTTTTGAATTTAAAAAAAAATCCATGGGAAAAGTTTCAGTCTGTCATAGGATTATTTTG